TATAGATAAGGTATTAAGAAAAAAAATGATGGTTAACCATTAGATAACCACATGGTTCAACCAATCACAGTTCTAGAATATATCACGTTTCACGTTTCACGGGGAGCTGTGAAGGCGCCTTTATTCCGTTGAACTCGGGTGGTACAGATTTTGCGGTGTGCAAGTCATTTACGGTATTAGCACCTGTGGTGTATGACGAGTAGCGCTTGCCGTTTGACCTAGCTGTGGTCGTTGAGAAATGGTCGTTCATTTACGGCGGCGTGGCGATAGAACTGACGACCGGCTGGGCGCCGCCTACATTGACCTCGAACGACCAACCTGGCTGGTAGCCATCGTGTGTGCGAGTGGTAACGTGTACGGGTAACGGATGGATAAGCCGCGGAATCTCAACATGTTGTGGCTGTTGCTGTACGCTGTTCAGTGCAGAACTGCGCCATCCTAGCCAGGGGCGTATACAAGGGGGGGATGTGGGGGTCAGATCCCCCCCCAAAGGCCTTTTTTTTAATTTTATAAAATAGTGTTCTTAATGACTTAATGTAAGGAAATTACAAGGAAAAAAATGTCAAGGATTTTTTGTAAATTTTTATTTTAACACAATATTCAACAATTAATTAAAAATAATTTACTTAATATTAATCAGTGATCATATATTTATTTCATATTCATATAATCGTATTATGTGATATTTGATAATATGTATATTATATATACAAGAGTACAAGACGTATAATAAATTATTATAAGAATAATAATATGTGGCAGACCAGCCACGGGCCGTCGCCACCGTCACCGATATCAACGCGGCGGAGACGACGATGTCCGTGCGTATATTGTATAGGTAATAATACATTTTCCTATACATTAGAAAAAGAAATATTATTATGGTATAATATAAGGTTATTGCACGATGGTTTTTACGTATTTATACCAAAACATTATCAATTTTGTATATTATCAATTAACATGGATATACCTACAACATACTAGCTAATAGCTATCAGTAATTTGTTCATTGAAAGCTAAAAATAGCTTAAATAATAAATATTATTGACTAAAAAAAAAGAAAATTAAATTTTGTTTTATAATTACTTGTAGAATTTAAAATAAAATGTATTGAATATATATATGTTTTATCATTTATTAGGTATTTAAATGAGCACATACCTAGGTTAGGTATTTTCGTTCCATAATAATTTGTTTGCAACTGATCCCCCCCATACAAAAGTTATGTATACGCCACTGATCCTAGCGTCCAACACCAGCAACCATGACTCGAACGTTTTCGTTTCGGTCGATTGGTGTACAGTGGCGGATCCAGGAGGATCCCCAATCGCCGTAGTTTTCCTTTGTTTTACACTGTATATTTATCCAATTTTGGAACTTTTTGTACTTATGCACCTCCCAAAATTAAGCCCTGGATCCGTCACTGTTGGTGTAACGATTGCGTCAAGACATTTTTTGATACGTTGCGGCTTTGAAAAATTTTTTGTCGTTCTCTATGCTCGCGATCCCGCCCTCATTTGTGGTCGACTGGAGCTTGGTGACCACTGAGATAGTTAGCAATAAAACCTTGCCACTCTTACAAAACGTGTTCCAACCACAACCGTTCCTCCCCCCTGCAAACAAAAACAGCTAATGACCATAGATCCCGGGCTTGACTCAATAATAATAATAATAATAAAAAAAAAAATAATAATTACTGAAAAATCAGTCATCTGTCGATACATGAAACATTGAAGCTGTTATTATGTTGTAAGCATTATATATTATTAAAATATGATAAAAATTACTAAGGATGTAATTTCCATACGACATATGTATACAGGTGGTATACGGTGGCATATTATGTACAGAGAGATGTCTACCACGAATTTACTGTGCGTTCAATTTGCTTATTTTATTTTAATATTATATAATACTAGCTGTCCCGTCCGGCGTTGCCCGAGCCAAAAATTAGTTTTTTTAACTTCTATATGGTGTTATATCATGCATAATATATAAAAATATAACTAACTAGGTTAAGTAAACAATCATATGTAACAGGTAAAATACCAAAACAAAACAAATCAAATCATACAATAATCAATAAGCTAAGTAACAACATAGAAACAATTATGCATTCCACCAAATTAGGATAGGATAACAATTATTATGTAATACAATAACAATTATTATAATTTTAAGCATAGTCAGTAAGTATAATGTAACTAGGTTAAACTTAATATCGATACTACCAATGGTGCTTTGATTGTAATATTGATATATAAGTAGTATGGGAAGACAGAAAGAGGGTCAGTGAGTGGTGATCGTGTGACTCGATTACCACGGCTGCGACACGATTGAGCATAAAACACCTTTTTTGCGACACGATTGAGCATAAATTGTCGGCGTATCAAAGGAAATTGAAATACAAAAGAAAACCAACACGATTGAGCATAAAAAACTCTGCAACGTTGCCATTTTCAATTTTGAACTGTATCGTATAAAAACATTTATTTAAATAATTATAATATTTCAAAATATAACATGAAATATAACATAACAAAATATAACATTAATTTATACTTGTATAAATTAACTAGGGCCAATTCTTTGCCTCTTTCCGATAAAATAATTGTTATATCCATATTTAAAAAAAATAGAAAGACGCACTAAGTATACACGCACTATACACTATACAGGTGATCGAACACTGATATTATTTCTATAATAATTTTGGATTTGTATCTTAATTATCTTATATTTTCTCCCGATGCTAAATGTTTAAAACGTCGTTTTGCTCCGGAACTAATTTATTAATCGATAACATTGTCGATAAAATTGATAAAGTCGATAAAGCTCACGGCTCGCGTCAGATATCATAATAATTGGTGTAATAATACGAGAAAATAATAAATTACAAAATGTTGGCAACGTGAATGTGGCAACATCGCATAAAATAAACTAGGCTCAATCGTGTTGCTAAAAAGGTCTATGCTCAATCGTTTTATGCTCAATCGTGCTTTACCGATTACCACTGACCACCAGTATTAGGGCCAGGTGGTGATCGTGTGACTCGATCGCCACTGGACGCCAAAGTTTAATAAAAGTGCTTATTATAAATATAAAGTTTGTTTATTTGTATACTTCTGTGAAAAGCTAGAAACGCACCTCTTAATAATATTATGTACCTACGAACGATGTCAAGGAGCTTACAAACAATCTATAACTATAATATTATTAGCACGAATTACTAAATATATTAGTTCGTGATTATTAAACTGACGTGGTACGGTGCACATACATGCACATTTTACTTATTCTAGTAGCCCGATCTTCTTTTGGAGATAAAATGCAAGCAATTAAAAACACAGTTGGCTGCACTGCTGATTAGTGCATATGCACTTTGTGTTGAAATGAGACAGCGTTATTGGTCAAATTTTTGTGGGAAAGAGAGGTCCAACCAGTACTATTTTGTGCAGCAGACTCCTAAATTATAGTATAGATAGGTACGTGTTGTCTGGCGCGTTGTATAGGCAATTTTGATACATCAACATGTAGGTGGCCTTGGAACAGTATTCCTCGCCGTTATATGTAAGTATTTAAAGCATTAAAAAACGTGTAGGTACCAAGTATGCTGACAAATTGATAAATTGATAATAATATAATAATTTGAAAAAAACCTTGTGGACATTTTTGTTACGACAGCGACGACAATAACGTGTCAGCACTATCCTGCATGTGGACGTTGGACAGGGTTGCAGGCGGTGTTTGTCGCCGATACAGCTCCAACAAATAGGTGGCTGACTGCATCAACTTGCGATGTGTTGAGCTGAAGTAAAGGTTAAAAAAAAAGTAATTATAATTTACGGCGTTCGTGACACCCCAAATACCATGTATTTTACAATCTGAATAACAATAAATAATACTTCAATATTATAATTACATAAGCCTAATCAAGGACGCCCCAAGCGTATACTGATACGAACTAAATAAAATAATTTTTAAAAACATCCACCTATCTGAACATTCTGGAATCGGTTTCAACTATACAGTCACGACAATATAGGTAATAATACAATTAATATACAAACAAAATGACCCTGTTTACGGCCGCCTTGTCGGTAAACAAATCCACCGTCGACTCGATGGTGGAAGACGGTGGAAGGGGGGTTGGTCTAAAGGTGGAAACGGGCGGCAGGGCATAACAATGTGGCACTTCGATGATGTATTTCTTGATTGACACTTCGTTGCTGTTAAACGACAAGATTACCGTGTCATTTGTCCCGAGTCCACGCCGCAGCCGACGGGAACGGCAACAGCCGAAGAATCCGACAACGACGCACCACGTGATTTTGGGCGACGACAACAGAGCGACGCGCACCCCTCGGGTTGGCGGATAACTGAATTGCGACCCTAGTGCCCTACGTACGCTTACCGTGACGATGAATAATTGTGGCCACTGCAGAAGGATTCACGTCGTGGGTACCGATAAACGAGTCGACAATAGGCGAAAATCATGCGGCTTTTAGTGGCAGCAGGTACGTATGTGAACTGCACGGGACCGAAAGACGGCTTAGCGCAATAATTTACGCGTCGTCTGTACCCGTTGGTTTTGCCGGGACACAGTAGACGGCGTTGCATCGAGCTCGGCCACTAGGAAAAGACAGCAAAAAATTAAGAGCAAGTGTTCAGCCGGCGGCAAGCACGGCCAACAGCCCGCGCTGGAGGGGCAGAGGAGGGGGCCACCTAGCGAACTTCCTCGTCCGATGGGAGGAAACATGCCGAAAACTACGGTTGCTCAAAAACGCGTCCGTAATCGAACAGGTGGCATTAGGTTATATAATATTATGTAAAAAAAATTATACGGCTTGATTGGTATGCAATATACCGATGATATTAGTGTACTTATAAACAAATTCAGTAGTTAACCATTATTATTTTTTCATAATACTCGTATTGGCTTGTCGTACCTAACACGAAAATCGAAAAATATTTCAAGTTTTCACAATACGATTAATATGATCAAAAACGGTTTGCGATTGATATCCACAGGATTAACTAATGTACAAACGGCACTGCGTGGTTGTAACTTCACGTCGGCAAAACTTCCAGGCAATGGTAAATGCGTCCGACAGTCAGTAAGTACATACGTAAGTCATGTCACGACGGTCGACTTTTTTTCGTCTGCAGAGCGTCCATGGCAGAACGTCCATGGCCGCCGAGCGTTTGTTCTTCGTAAATTGTTTTAAATCATCTTCCGTCGTCGCCCACAGGTGGTCGCCATCAACAAACCGCATGCACCGTTATCGTTTGTTACCCGCTCATTCAAGAACGACAACGTGAACAGGATGTTTTCCGGATCCGTCACCACAAAGGCCGACTGTCTGGACATCAAAGGTGATAAACAACAATAACAATTATAACGTTGATTATTTTTATTATATTTATTTTAATATATGCCGTGATATACCTAACTGCTTCGCACAAGATAGTTTTTGTTATAGATCGAAATTTAACGTAAATTGATTATCATAATACATTTGAGGTAGTAAATCATACCATCTTACATTAAAAAGACAGATTATTACGTTAAGATTATAAAAAATGTTTCTAGAAGTGTAAAATGTAGAGATACGCATACGTATGCCCTCAAATATTCGTGTTTTTGTTCACAACTTTATTTAAAAATGTATTATTAGTATGTACTATGTAATATTATACTTTTGTAATATTGTAAAATATTGTCACGATGACAAAACAAATTCAGAATCATATTTGATTATGAGGAGTTATTGTTGAATGCAGTAAGTTGAATCAATTTTTTAAAAGTTCAGCTTTTCTGGTGTAATTACTAATTAGCATGATAGGTATTGTGGTATAAGGTAAATATTTAGTAATGCTCCTTTTTAAAAATATTGTACAATATACCTACTATTGACAATGTATGTACTTGGCCAATAATATACTTATCACGTCTTGGTACATAATTTTATGTATCATAATGTATTTATATATGAATTTATGTAGGTAAGGTTAAATAAAAATATTCAGTTCATCGTTTCTTTTGTGTTGTAACTTTTGATTACCTTCTAGTAATAATATTTTAAAATCAATTTAATGTTTTTTTTATTTGTTAGCTATGCCATGGTTTGGTATGGATATAGGCGGAACATTATCAAAACTAGTTTTTTTCGAACCAAAAGACTCACCTACAACACAAACTGAAGATGAAATCTTGTCCAATGTTACCCAATATTTGACGAAGAATTCTGCTTATGGAAAATCTGGACATAGACATGCACACCTACAGGCATGCATTAATTTTTATTATTTGATTTCTACAGTTCTCATTTTTACAAATGGTTTGGTCACAGATGGACAACGTACAAATCTGCAATAGGTTAGGGACGTTGCATTTCATCAGATTTCTAACTAGTGAAATGAACAATTTTTTGGATCTGTCTAAGAAGATAGGTATGGCAGATAACGTACCTACAGTTTGTGCTACCGGTGGTGGAGCATACAAGTTTGAAGATATTTTTAAAAATGTAAGACTCAAATTTATTATATTATTCTAATAGAATTGTGTTTCTTAATCTGAACTGCTTCACACAAATTTCATAAGTTTGTATAACAGAGACATCAAATGTAAATATGATGTCCTCTTTGTATGAACTATAATATGATGTTCTCTACATCATACCTTAAACTATACTAAACTGTAAATCATTTTTTTACCATACGATTGTATGATATAAACAATTTCCTTTTTGTGTAATACTCAAATTAATTATTGAATAGTAATTTTAAACTCACTAAATTTAACTATGGGAAGTTTGAATTTGTTTGATTTTAAGATCATAAAAATAAATAATGTTGAAAATGTTGACCAATGAAATATAAATCGGACCACTATTAATGATTTTTGTAAATTTCAAGCTTGGATAATTTTTCTTTGTTTTAATTTGTATAAACTATAAGCTAATAAAAAATTATAATCATTATTATTATAAATAGCTATTAGTAACAACCATTTACTTAGATGTATAGGTACTATAATATATATATTATATATAGATACTAGCTGATCACCCTGCACTTCGTTGCCCGTTAAGTGTATCAACTCTATATGACTCCAACATTGTTCAATTCGTTATTTTAATATTCGGTGTATGATGTTCAAAATGTATCTTAACTTTTCTGTTGCCCCGAATAAAAATTCTGATTCGCAGCAGTAAAGTAGGACCCCGCGCTGTTTGTACACAAGTGTATGATTTAATTCTTAAGTATCAAAGTTATACCAAGTTTGTCGTTTTTACTTAATTCCATTCCTACAGTAGATTAATATAATCAATTTATACAAACACAAAATCCTATCCTAACCTAACCGTAATAAAATCCGATGAATAAAAAAAAACAAATTTAACCCTTTGTAAATTAACCTGTCTTCTTCCCAGAGGTCTAATCTACCCACAAACATTAATTTATATATATAGATATTATATAAGATCTGATAAGTAGTTCTGTATTGAAATTCTAGAACGAATCATTTTATATGGCAACCATTTATGAACAAAAATTTCCATCTGAAATCTCCAAATTCCCATTTGAGCACCTCCCGGGGTTAGTCCTCTCCCTTTTTAAATTAGCCTATCTTTTAAGTTGGATCAAATTACAGCAATCAGTGTAAAAATTTCATCAAGATCGGTCCAGTAGTTTCGGAGTCTCTTCCGACAAAGACGTGACACGGGATTTTTATATTTTATATTTTTATTTTTAGTGTGTTTTACAATTTTATTGTCCCCTCTCATTAAATTAATAACAACTTAATTTTAATATAAGATTCATGTAGAAAATTATTTTGAAAAAATCTCTTAATAATTTATTGCATATTTATTATAGTTGATACATTTTTAAAGTAGGTACATCAGAAAAACTAGTTTGCAATAGAATATTGTATTCCATTTATTGGTAATAATTATGAATATGATTCTTTTAAAAATTATACGTCAGTATAATTTTTTTTTGACATATTCTGGTTAATTTTACATAATGCTATTCAAATAAAACTAGCATGTTATTTTAAATTATCATTATCCTGCATTTAAATCATACCTAATTAAATATTATATAATAGTTTTTACACATTTGGTTTTGTTAATCAACTTTTAAGAATACCTATATTTAATTTAATTGGTTTGACTGAAATATCTTCTGTCAACTTTAAATGGCTACTCAAATGACATATTATGTATAAGCTATGAATAAAAAAATACCTATAAAAGTCAACAAAATTATGAATCAACAGTTATTTTAATGATGGATTTATTATTTAAATATTTTTAAAACAGCAAAAACCAAATAATTTTATAACTAATAAATACATTTTTTTTTGTTTTACAGGAATTGAATTTAAAGTTGCGTAAATGTGATGAGCTGGATAGCTTGATTCGTGGCTTATTATTTACAGTAGCTTCAAATAATAATGAATGTTATTCTTGGCCACAATGTACTGAATACGAGCAGTGTTCAACACAAGAGTACACATTCCAGTATAATGAATATCCGTTTATTGTTCGTATATATTATTAACAATAAAAATAATACTTACTTATTTACTCATTATTGAGAGAGTATATTTATATTTTTGTCTGTGGTTTGTAGGTTGTAAATATAGGTTCTGGTGTAGGCGTATTGGCAGTTTATGGTCCAAATCATTATAAGAGAATATCTGGAACGTGGTTAGTAAAGACAAATCACATTCAAATTGCATTAAGTGTCGTATATCAATATAGGTACTTAAAAATGTATTTACTAATTCAATTTCAGTATAGGAGGTGGTACGTTTTTGGCACTATGTGGTGGTTTGACTGGATGTGATACATTTGATGAGGCAATTGAATTGGCTGCAAAAGGTGATAATTTAAAAATTGATCAATTGGTTCAAGATATCTATGGAGGGGATTACAGTAAAATCGGGCTACCTGGAAGAGAAATTGCTAGCAGGTAGGTAGAACAAATAATTATTGTGTATTTGTTTAGTTAACTAATTATTTTTCTGTTATAGTTTTGGAAAAATGAATTCTAAGGACAAATGGGCCCAAGCGTCTCCAGAAGATGTGGCTAGAGCGGCCTTAGTTGGTGTTACAAAAAACATTTCTTCGATTGTAAGACCGTGGGCGATTATTGAAAAAACTGATAGAGTAATAATTTCTAATTTATTTTGACAAGGATTGGCAATGAAGTTAAAATTATAATTTTGTTTAAGGTATGTTTTGTTGGTAATTTTCTGCATGTAAACCCAATAGCAACGAAATTATTATCAGATGCTATGATGGATTATGGGTATAAAGCTATATTTTTAAACCATGAGGTAAAACATTCAATCTTTAAAATTGTTGCTAGTTTATTACATGCATATTAATATACATAATGTCATTCATATTTTATAATCTAACTACTCAATAAACAAGGCCATAACACAATGATCTATTATAATTATATGGGTAACTATAACTTATAGTTTTCTTTTTTTTTTCGTATTATCTTTACTTTTACATTTATGACCCATCTTATAATATACATTTCATAATCTACTCATATTTAACATTATGAGTTAGCTGTACAAAACCAATAAAAACAATTAAAATAAATATATTCAAAATATGAATTTAAGTAATTTGCATGATCGATGGTTATAACCTTAACCTTTCCCCCACCTAGTTGTACTAGTGAGTATTAGCAGTGAATTATGTGTATTATGTGTGTGTGTTTTATATTCTAAATGCAACTATTATTATTTCATTAATCATTTTCAGGGTTACTTTGGTGCAATTGGATGTTTGTTGACAATTTGACAAGAGATTTAAAGAGTAGTTTAAGCTCCCGTTATAACTGGGGGAGATAGCGTCATGGTTCTATGCGGTCGGATAGCTAAGTGGTAGAGCAATCGCCCGGCAAGCGAGGGACTCGGGTTCGATTCCTGATCCGGCGGCTGGATTTTTGACGCTATTTCCCCTGGAGAAGTTAACAGTAAGTAAAATTGTTGTAAATATACAAAACCAAGGCTAGTTTATAACAAAAAAAAAATCTACTACTGGTTAGTTCTTTTCTTGGACCTAAGGCTAATTATTTGTAAAATTATGAATGTATGTACGGGAATAAATTTATATTTTATGTGCATTATATTATAGTATTTTTATAAAACGTCATCAAATGTGGACAATTGCATTAATTTAGTTGTATTAATTACATGTTATCTACACATTTTTAAATCTCCAACATTTGCGGAAAGGTGTTGCATAGTGCATACTAAGATTTAAGTTTACAAACTTATTCAATAAAATTATTGTTTCGTCTATCTCACACCCTTATGACCTATGTCAAACCAGGTCAGTCAGATTCTGCACGCAAACAACGAAATTTATAAATACATAATGCCATAATATAAATAAAATACATATATATATATTGTGTACAATATTCGTAAAAACCCAAATTTGAACAGTTTAATTAATTACTAATTAGTTAAAAGTTAAAACTCAAATTATTAAATTATCGAGATGGACGAAACAATAATTTTATTGAATTAAAGTTAAATAAGTTTGTAAACTTAAATCTTAGTATGCACTATGCAACACCTTTCCACAAATGTTGGAGATTTAAAAATATATGACATGTAGATAACATGTAATTAATACAACTAAATTAATGCTATTGTCCACATATTATGACGTTTTATAAAAATACTATATAATGCACATAATATATACATTTATTACCGTACATACATTCTTAATTTTATAAATAATTAGCCTTAGGTCTCAGAAAAGAATTAACCAGTAGTAGATTTTTTTTTGTAATAAACTAGCCTTGGTTTTTTATCTTAACAACAATTTTCTTTTGTCAGTCTGTTTAAATTAATATTAGATATATCAAATTATCATCGATATAATATTTATCCAATTAAATTGTTTAAAAGTATAATTTAAATAACATAGCATGCACTTATGAAAATCATAATTAATTTTTTGTCATTATATTATTGTATAACTATATTTGAATGTATCATAAACTATACCATATTGTATAATTGTTACCTAATTTATCATTGCGGCTGTTTAAATTGTCCTAACACCTGTTATTGTATATTGTTATGTATATTAAATAAATGAATATTGTATTAATATATAACTGATGATTTTTATTTAGTTTCTAAAATTTTAATAATAATTAATTTTTTTGTAGTAAATGAAAAAGCCTTAAAATTCATATTTTATTTTATTGCCAATCCGTGGGATCGGTTTCCATGGGATTGGTTTCTGTGAGATCAATTTGCCAATCTGTAAAATCGGTTTGCCAATCTGTGAGATCGAATAATATTATTTGAATAATTTTAACATATTATTCAAATTTTAAAAATTATTCGAATAATTCGAACATATTATTCAAATCTTAAAAATATTATTCAAATCTTAAAAAATATTCGAATAATTTGAACGTATACCATTATAAATCGAACGTGGTTCAAACTACTCTATAAACTTTCCTGATATCTCCAAGAACAATTTGAAATTTTCACAAAATCGGTTAAGTAGTTTTTGAGAACTCATATAATAGCCACAAATATACATTCAACTTTCATATTTGTTTTAAGATATAATTTCTTTATTCGATACCATATAAGCGTGCGACGCTTTGATGGATCTTTTTACCTCATCTGCCAGAGTAACTAATGGTAAACATTTAAAATACTAATTTTTACTAATTATTATTTCTCCTATAGCCAATAGCAACCATTTATAGACAAAAATTTGTATCGTAAATCTCAAAATACCTATTTGAGCACCTCTCTGGATTGAACCAACTGTGTCTCATTGTGAATCTAAACCATTCAGGGACTCTCTCAAAAACACACAAAAAAATAAAAAATGTCCAGTGGTTTAGGAGGAGATCGCAATGACATACAGACAAACATTTATTTTTATACATATAGCAATAGATTGTTATTATTTTCGGCCACCAATTAATTTTACCAAAGAAAATTATTATACATTAAAACGTTCCCAGTGACTCGACCGATTTATTAGTGAAAACTGCATTAAAATAAGTACCTAGAGTTATTTTCGAGATATGCTAGTACATACAAACAAGGGGCTTCTATTTTATCTATATCTATATCTATACTATTATATAAAGAGGAGTCGTTAGTTACCATTGTCGAAAGTAATCTCTGGAACTACTGAACCTATTTCGAAAATTCTTTCAACAATAGAAAGCCACGTTCTTTGTGAGTGTCATAGGCTAATTTAAAAAGAGAATTGATCACCCGCGGTAGGTGCTAAAACAGGAATTTTGAGATTTACGATAGAAATTTTTGTTTATTAATCGTTGCTATGGGTTATAGGAGTTGAGAATAATATTTGTTTATTATTATTATTTTTTTTTTTAATATTAATGGAGCGTCTCAATTCGTCTCAATTCTACTCACTCGTTTCAATCAGTCGAAGTTTCGATCAGACGAGTACATCCACTTGCGTAACGCAGGCACGTAGCCAGGGGGGCTTGGGTGGGCCGGACCCACCCTAAATATACTCTGGCCCAGGGCCGCCCCCCCCAAATTCAAAATATAATTATTTTTACCAATTATCAAAAATGTGATTATGCACATTGAGAGAAATCTATTGTGATTACTATTAGGTAATACAATTATTATTGTAATAATTTAATTTTTATATTCGGGGAACCGTGGATAACTTTAACTGAAAAAAATACAATATAATAGGGTCTTGATACCCTTTTTAAAAACAATAATATATTAGCCGCAGTTATAAGTCTATGCTAACTGCTAAGTTAGCTTGCGAAAGAACTTTTTCATGTCTGAGACGACTGAAAACCTTTCTGAGGAATCGCATGACAAATGATCGTTTAAATAATTTAGCTTCAATGAGCATAGAAAAAAAATTCTAAAAACTTAGATCTAGATATTTTTGTACAATTGTTTTCGGAAAATCATATAAAAACAGAAAAATTATTTTATATTGCACTGTTTAATATTTATATAAGTATAAGTGTATTATTAATATATTCTACTAGTATGTGTTTTTTTTTTTGAATAAATTTGAGTTTCTTTAAAAATTATATTAAATCGATGATCATTTATCTCTATTATTTTTGATAAGTATTCAAATATGAATTAATTTTTGAAGTTAAACAATTGAAGCAGCTTATTATTTTAAATATGTATGTAGATTTATTTTTCATAGTATGAAAAATGTATCCCATAAGTGAAGATGTAGGTAATTCTATATTTATTTTTTTTTTTTTGTTATCAGGTACTTTCTATTTTTGTAATTCTTAAATAAGTAAGTATTAGGTATAACTTGTTGTGAAAAAAATAATTTTAACCAATTACCAACTAAAGGTAAATTATTTAAATTAATAAGATTCTTTGTATTGCATACCCCTTACAAGAATTTCATAAAGAAAAATTATGGAAAGTAATAAAAGGGCCAAACATTATTGGCCCCCCTAGTAGAAATTTTCTGGCTACGAGCCTGGCGTAACGCCATCGCTACTGAAGGAGACGCGGCCAACATTGGTCGTTTGACCATTCTCTCAGCCCATTCTTCTTTCTAAGTTAAGCCTCTGGGTAGAAGATAGGCTAATTTAAAAAGGGTTAAACTTGTTTTGGTTTATTCATCAGATTTTAGTACGGTGGGTTAGGATTTTGTATTAATTGTTTATATTAATCCGCCGTAGGTGGAAATGTGGAATTAAGTAAAAACAATAAACTTGGTATAACTTTGGTCTTTGATACTCTAGAGTTAAATCATACATTCATACACTTACGTGCAAACAGCACGGGATCCGCGATCTACAGCAGGTAGATTGTCTACCTGATAATATACTACTGCGAATCAGAATTTTTATTCCGGGCAATGGAAAAGTCAAGATAAGTTTTGAATACCATGCACCGAATATTAAATAACGAATTGAAAAAAGTTTGAGTCATAGAGAGTTGATATAGGTACATTTAACGGGCGTCGAAGTGCACTGGTTCAGCTAGTAATATATATATTATATATTAATTGTATTAATATTTAATTATTATTATGTTACAGTTACACATTATAGTAGGAATATCGTATATGGGATCTCGGGGCCCCCTGTGAACTGCACACCCAACACCCAACGCCGATTATTGCGCCACTGTTGCTCCCCCATACATTGTCCCTTAATACGGCCCTGGCATTGCAGCATATATTATTTAATATAATATAATAATTTAGTTAATATATAATACATTACTTTATATAGAGCATTAGCAGTGTCGCGTTACTCAAGAGTCCTTGACGGGGTGCGACTGATGTGATGGAGTTACTGATGATTTTTCCTTCTAATTCAGGAATGATAATGCTGATGTCTTTCACGGCGTCGGTATTTCTGCATACGATGAGTTCATAATTTGTAACAAACGTGCTGTATTGTATAGAAGCCTGGACAAGTTAATGATAATTTTTAACTGAGTTACCTAAGTTAATGGAAAACATTTTAAAAAGTTTAAAGTTAACAGTTAACCTAATTTTTTTTAACTCAGTTAAGTTAAAAGTTATAATATAACTTTCATGTTAATGGTCATATGAACATTTTCAATTTATTTATTAACTTAATTTAAGGTTTTTTTTTTATGAAACTGTTTTCGTTGAATAATCTGGTTGTTGCATATAGATCCCTGTATAGTGCATATTGTGGATTAGGTACCTTTGAAAATTTGAAATTATCGATGAACGCAGAGGCATGACGAAAAAAAGTAAGTATGATTCATACAAACAAGCTAAATCTAAGAGTTTAATATGTTTCTTAAAGGTAATTAG